CCAATGAAATAACACACGTTTGTACTCAAAAATATAAACATGAATAAAACATTTTAAGAGGATCATGACACCCATTAGTATCATATCAGAATTTCTTGCTTAATGTCTCCATAGCAGCTATGGATACATGAAAGTGCTATCAACCATGTTTCGCAGACGAGGAAAATCCAATAAATCTGCCTCTTCAGTCACCTCAATAATTTTGCAAACTCATCCCACCTGGCATGCTATGCTTCCAGTCCAACAGTAAATACAAGAGAAGAACAGACAGGAATCCAGATCTTCCACTTTTGGCTATTCTCAAGCATCACTAGCACAGCAGAGACGCTCAATTTCAGATACAGCAAGAAACAGCACTAACCCAAGAAAAAATTCCAAAAATGCAGCACTCCTTTAATCTCATCTTTCTATTCTATTCACCTCGTTACAAGAGGAATTAAGAAAAAGAAAGATCAGCCAACTTCCAAAGAATGTAAGTAAGGATGGCACATATTACGATGTATCTCCCCGATTCAGTCAGCATTCAAGTGTTTCCCAAGTCACGCTTCTGAGCCACTGGTTAATTCTCATTACACCATTTTCTATTTGTTTTTTTGGTTATCTACATGACAACAGAGGATGGAAGATAGATGTTTCACAGAGAACAGAAGTGCTGTACAGATGCTACAAGTAGTAAGCCCATCTAATAATCTCATGGGTCAGGATTTAGAGTGTTACAAAATTATTATTGCCTGAGAATGAAATCAGAAGAATTGGGGAGAACTTTATAATTTCTTCACCATTAATCTGGAACACTGTTGCAAGCCCATATTAAGCAAGGCACTGAGAACGTCGAATCATATTTGACAGATGGGCTTCATTAGTTATTCTCATACAGACTCATAATATTTGCTGTTAATATTCATTCTAAAACACCCTGCTGGCTGTGATAATATTTATATGTTAATCCTGTTACGATAAGCTTTTGGTGCCAGAACCTCTCCAAATAAAATGACTGATATATTTCAAACGTCAATAAAGAAATGCTCAGGCATCCTGGTTAAGTTTGTCGCTTGCACAATCGCCTCCTTAATCCACTAAATTACACCTGTTACAGTAAGTAAGCTTTATTAACTATATTTTCTGATCCATGTAAAACCATAAAAACCACAAAAGTATTGAATCTTTAGTTAATTAGCATTGTCACCTTTGCATTCATGTGATCAGAACTCTGATTTTTAAGAGTAATTAAACAATATACAAACAGAAATTGTCGAATTTCTAAATGAATTATGGAGGCAAACGATTTGGTAAGAGACAAAAATATTTAGCTGTTATCCATTGTAGATAATTAGTGACATCAAAAATGTCTAGATAAGGAAATAATTGTTTCCAAACAAATATTG